GATTATAAGATAGTTAAGCTATAAAAAAATAACGTACAATTCAGTTGAATGTTTTTCACTTAATATGTCAAAAGTATTTTCCCGATCATAAGGATTACTCACAAACTTTTTCAATAACAGGAAGATAGTTCATTTTATGGATCTACTGAGAAGTGCTTAGTGTTATGTGATCCTCAGAGACGATCTATCAGTTTACTGTTTTCACTAATGACAGTGTTGGTGCAACTGTGGTCAGGACATCAAGACAAGCCATCTGTTGCTACTGGGGCAGCAAAAAGACTGCTACCGCAGCATGTGGTGGCAGGTGTGGGAAGTTCTCAGACCTGTTCACAGCTGAAAGGACACCCATAGGAGCTGAATGGCTGACTCTTTGGTAGTGGGGTAGTATCTTGACGTTTCTAAGCTGCGGTCATCTGTTACAGGCTTGAAAATTCAAGAGCTTTGATTGGTTCTATGCCATCCTGCTGAGTAGGTGAAATTAAGAAGCTAAAAGACAAGCAGACAAATAAACGTAGATTTGGCCATCAGTGTCAGAGGCAGTCCTTTGTGGCACATGGGAGTGCTAACTCTGAGCTCTCATTCTCCTGGGGCATAGTTATGAATGGCCTCCATCCTGTCAATCACAACGCTACATTTTTATGCCAGCAGTGCATTCCAGTTATCATATTATGAGGAACTGTGTGAGAGGGCATGTTTGCCATGGGTCAAGGACCGGCACATGCACTATGGAGACGTTTGGGGTGGGGTACTTCTTGTGGAGATTAGGAAGGTATGGGCCATGTACAATGCATAGCAAGTAATAGTAAAATTGAGACCATAAGGAAAAATGAGTAGTACAAGAATAGGAAAAGAACAGAAATGGAGGTTGGATTCAAATGTCACTGCCAAACCCAGCCACTTCTGTCCTGATTGGTACCTTTCATATGTGCTTGAACATTAATTATCCATTGAAACTCTTATATCTCAAAAACTCTCCTTTTTGTCTCTGCCAAATATGGACAAAGGAGATGAGTACAACAAATAATGTAGCAAAATTCAAATGTGTGTGATCTCTGTGGGTCCCATAAGACTGAGGATGACTCATGCCAGGGACCAGCATCATTCTCCACACAGGGTGGGAGATCAGTGGCAATGTTTCGATGGCACTTGTACATCCAGGTCATCTGGTATAACCCTCATCTAGGCTCAGCCCTGACCCTATATGTCAATCTCACGCCCATTACCTGGTCATTTTTATTGGTTATTCTTGGCCTGATTACTGTTCTTGTGTTAACTGGAAGTTACTGTTTTTGTTTGTTTTATCTTTGTTTTTATTTGAGCTGGGGTCTCACTATGTAGCTCAGGCTGGCTTCTAACTCGTCATCTTCCTGACCAGGCTTCCTGGGTACCCAGCTGAAGTTGTATTGTTTATTATAGATCTTTCATCTTTTACACCATTTTCTCTAAATAAATTCCCTGCTGATTCATGCCTTTTAGGAACAGATAAAATATATTTACACAGAAAACTAACCAATAACAAATTTTATTTTTAAAAAGTAATAATATTTAATTTTCTATTATGCCTTCTGAGATGCCTCAAAGCACAGAGCTTTACTTTGGTCTCATGAATACAGTTAAAGGTATTTCAGCTTGGCAGTCCATCAGAACATCTTAAATTTCCAAATTTAATTTAACATTAGCTTTTGGAATGTAGATCCAAGTGTAAAAAACATATTCCTAGAAAACATTTTAACACCCTCGGTAAGTATTCATCAGTGTTCCGTTCTCTGATATATGAATGTGTTTGGTAATTATTTTGATTTTTCTTAGCAATTTGAGCTTGAATACTTGAACACCATGATTTTCTTTAAGATCATGAATACTATTAAACGTACCATTCTTCTAAAGTTTTGAGTTAGTGGAATAGAACTGGCACTAATGTTTTCATGTGCTGTCATTTAAGTTGCTGATATATATTTATGTACTTAATTTATTGTTTATATGCATTATTAAGTAAGGCCTGTTCTTAGTAGTCTTAATTTAACCTCTTTATTCATGGAGACATGTCAAGCTATAGAAGAAAGATGCTTTCAAACTTCAGAGATGTACTAAATAACCTTTAAACATAAAATCACTAGAAATATTTAAGTAAAACTTTTCATAGCAACTCAACTTTTTTTAAGCTGATTGTTTTCAGGCATCTGTACTAAGTCCTGTTCTTGCTCGGTGACCTCCTAGGTTCACTGCAGGGACTTCAGCTTTCTCTGCATCCTCAGCTTGGTGGTGACTCTACTTTTGTTTCTCACCTATTCGCAGAGCCCGGCGTTTGCACAGTATTTGGAGATCCCCACTACAACACATTTGATGGACGGACATTTAATTTTCAGGGGACGTGTCAGTATGTTTTGACAAAAGACTGCTCCTCCCCTGCCTCGCCCTTTCAGGTGCTGGTGAAGAATGACGCCCGCAGGACCCGCTCCTTCTCCTGGACCAAGTCTGTGGAGCTGGTGCTGGGTGAGAGCACAGTCAGCCTGCAGCAGCATCTCACGGTGCGCTGGAATGGCTCGCGCATTGCGCTGCCCTGCCATGCACCCTATTTCCACATTGACCTCGATGGCTACCTCCTGAAAGTGACCACCAAAGCAGGTTGGGCTTCTTCTGTGGCCTTTCTCTGACACTTATTCCACCTCACTGATGCCATCAGCAGCAGCACCTGGTTGGAGTGTGCCTCCTTCTTTTAGGGAAACCAAAGGGAAGGCCTTGTCTGCTCCTGGGCTGGGGAGAAGGCACATCTCAAAGAGGCTATGCCATAACCATGAACAGTTGCACCACATGGAGTCTTGCAATTGGACACCAGTTACACCAGTTTTTGCAATTTTTGGACATCCAGAGCCTTTACACTCTCATTCTATCCGCCAAACAACCTCTCTGCAACTTTGTTGCTGTTTTAGGGCACCGATGTCCAGCTTGGAACTATAAGCATCTCTCCCATGGGTCAACCATGTGTAATTTCACATCTGTGAAAAGGAGGGTTTTTTGCTAGTATCTGCCCAAAACAGGGGTTAGAGGATCTTTAATAGTATGTTGCTTAGTGTCAGTTGCTATTTCAAAGAAAAATAAAGGTCAGCCTGGTGGCACAGGCCTGTTATCCAAGCTATGAGGGAGTCTGAGGTAAGTGGATTAAGAGTTCAAGGCCTACCCAAACACCTTAAAAAGACCATTTCAAAAAAATAAATCAATGAAAAAATAGATGGAGATATAGCTTCAGAGTAGAGTGCTTGCCTAGCCTGTGTTCAGTCCCTGGTACCTTAAAACAAAGATAAGTAACAGAAAGCTCACCTAAGTGTCTACCACAGAAGAGCTTGTTCTTAAACTGCCTGCTGTTCAGGGTAGCCTGATTCCACTTGGTCATCTGATGCAAGGAAGAATGAGGCCATCATGTGTGAGTATGCACAAGGAAGTATAGTGGCAGGAACCATGTGTGATCAACAGGCAGTGTACCCTAGTTCTGGGGGAGGTTGCTCTCCCAGCTGATAGCTAGGGACATTATTTCTACTACGGAACACTTAGGAGGCTGGCTTTGAAAGTGTGTCCCTCAGCTAGGCTTTGGTGTAGAGCTAGTGACTGAGGCCCTTTCTCCGCAGTAACCTTAGGCCCTCTGTACTCTGGGTTTCCACCCCATGGCCAGACATATCCCTCCTAGGCCAAGCTGTTCTCCTGTGGCTACCAGAGGTCCACAGGGTCAAATTCTGTTTTGTTAGGTGTTGTCTCAGGAAAACATTTTGGAAGTAGAATTCAATTCATGTTGATCATCCTCAGAGAAAGACTTCATGTCATGTGCCCTTCTGTTTCATCACGTGGTTCTGGACATGCCACCTTTGGTTAATGCACGTCAGTATTTGAATATTACACTGCTTGCTCTCCTGACGTTTTCTAGGTCTTTAAGCCTGATCTATTAAGGAAATCAGCATCCTTTTTGCTTTCTCTTTAATGAGAATTTAATAATGTAAAGGCATCAATTGAGTTCCAGTTTCTTTAGGTAATATACTTTTCAAAGGGAAACATTTAATAGACCAGGCACTTTTAAGGGTCTGCAGAGACTATTTCTGCTGATGCTTCAAAACCCTGGTAATTGTTTCAGTTCAAGCCAAATTTCTGTATTGATAAATCGATTTGAACCTGTGGCATGCCGGCTTAGCTAAACAGGGCAGGATGCCAGGGAACAGTCTGGGAGCTTTTGGGTACTGAGCACAGCATCATCTTGGTGAGACAATACTGAATATTCATGTGTTGGGATAGACATTCAGCAAAGACGACAAAGCTCTTCATGTTTCAGGTGGCTCTACTCATTCGACTAAGAGCTTAGTCCTGCTTAGAAAATTCAGACTTATTCTTGTATCCAAAAAGACATATCACTCTGAAAATCTAGACTCCCCTATCTCATTCCTTTAAAGGAGCCAACAGTTTCTGACTCCCGGTAAAGTATGTCAAAGATGGCCTATTATTACACAGAAGCAATTAGAAGCACCCTGGCTATCTTGTTTGTAAGCCAGTGAGGTACAGTGGTCTGCACTGATACGGAAATTATTAGTCAGCCAGTTCGCAAAGAAATCCTGGGTCCTGGAAGATTACTAACAGCCGAGGAGATTCAACATTGTTCCATGCACAGCTGGCAACACCTTATGGAATAAGTGTGTTCTTTGTAGGATTCTTTGTTGTAAAACTGAGCAAGACGGCAAGGCTGCTGAGAAAATAATAATGCATCGTAAATACCATAATTAGATTAGTGAAGTTTACTATTCTAGACCTCGAACTCATTCTTACAATTTCTTTTATTTTTCCATCTCTCTTTCCACGATGTAAGCAATTTTATGGTACCCTTAACACCCAGCTGAACGATTTTCTGTAGCACGCAAATCACATAACCCTTCTGCTTCCTGGAGAAGCGGTTCATTCTTCTGGACACTGAACTTACTTTGTACTTGTGTTTTGAATGAAATGAGTGGATTTCCAGACAATAGCGTTTCCACTCTTGTCTAGTCATCTCAGTTTGGACGACCCCCTTAGGGATATTTTTGTTTTATCACCCATTGATTGTCTAAAATATCACAGCATTTCCTTTGGGTGTTCTTTCATGAGGTTTTGTTTTCTTTTATAAGCTAGTGTGATCAAAGGGTACTGTCTGAACAACAACAGCAGCTTACCTCAAACCTGCAGCTGGAGGGTAGGAGAGGAAAAGACAGCTCTTTGCCTTTGTGGTTTATAAATTCAGTACTTGATGGACTCTGACTCAGTCACCCAGGTGGTGCGTAATGTAGTTGAATCAGGCTGTCCGTGCTTACCTACTAACAACTGGCCTTATAGGTTGTTGGCTGCCTTATTTATCCCACCACACACACTCTGAGTTCTCAGCAAATAATTTAAATGTATACTTCCTTTCTGCCACCAGTTTATTCCATCATCTCTACCTGAGTTATATCAGGTCTGTCTGAACCTATCCACACAGGAGGAGCATGGCTTTTAAACTGTATTTTGTTACAGCTGTACACTTGTTGAACTCAGAATGTATCCTGGTATAAAATCTTAGCAGAAAAAAATCCTCTATTTTTACACCTCACTATGGAATATTTACAGACTTTTGCATCTCCTATCCTATTTAAGTGACCAAAGCATCAGTGACCAGAAACCAAATCAATACAAAAGAAATGGCAAACATAAAACAAAAGAAAACAAAACAAACCCAGCAAGCAGTCAGTCCTGAGTCAAGTCACACACTGGAAAGGTGAAGCGTACATTGGTAAAAGATTCACTGTCAAGAAGCGGAGAATGGAAGGCCTTCTTAAAGTGGAAGGAATGCAGATGTAGCTCACATCCCACATGGGACATGTGCTTCAGCTTTAGCTTGCTGACTGCTAACTATTTCTTCCCAATTCCTCATGCAGAGAATTGGGAAATTCATCCCAGCTGCAGAAAGGTCTATCTGCAGCCTTTCAAACACTTCCATGGTGTTTTCCTCTCATAAGATGCCTATTTAAAATATCATTTAGAAGAACCATCCTCTCAGTTACAGCTAGCTAGCATTATGCCTTTCATGACTCTAATCTATTTTGTATGGATTGTATTCTTACAGCAAGGAAAAGAATTCATACAGACAGATACAAATGATAGCGCAATAGACAAAGACATCTGTAGTGGGAAATTCATTTCCTTCCAACATGAAGCCTGGTGCTGGTCAGTGAAAATATCAACATGTTAGTAACAAAGAAGGATGAAAAACAGAGAGTGAATCACAAATTATTCTCTTGCTTTGGGGACCATGTTTTATGAATGTGATGCCAGGAGTTTTGAGAAGAGCTTACTGAAACACTGTGGGTTTGTATTTCTCTAAGCACACGTAGATCACCAGTCTGTCAAGAGAAAGAACAGTGACCTGCTTATTTGCCACCATTGAATTCCCAAGACTCAGTTGCCCAAAGCTTCAAGGTTACTTTACCACTGTCAGTAATGACATTAGAGCTCCTTTGGGTGTAAATTCTCTCCTATTTGTGGCACGTGGAAGAACAGTATTTACCTGCTGTCTAAGAAAGAGATTTGCAGTTTGGAAAATTTAGCAACATGGAAAATTTTTGGAATTACACTCTAAAAGTTGGACTTGGTATGGAATTGATTTTCTCCCCTCGTTTTTCTTGCTGAGTAACTGCCCAACTGCAGGCTTCTGAGGTCAGGTTTCCTCTGTACCTTGGAGAGTGTACTACAAATCATTTTACAGTGTGCTTGTCTTCTTTCAAAACAGTTATTTCAGTGTCTTAACTAGCATGAAACTCAGAATTTACTTGGCTTTACAGATTTAATGCATCAACATTACAAGGGTAATTTCTTCACTTACTGAGTATATAACATGTGCCAGATAATGTGTTAGATGGTAGAGTATACAGAAATAGAAATCGCCTTATGGAAGTTGCGCGTCACAGTTGATGCCATGTCTCATGGAGAGCCATGTGCTAGGTGGTATATGGGGGGTCACAGTTGATGCCATGTCTCATGGAGAGCCATGTGCTAGGTGGTATATGGGGGGTCACAGTTGATGCCATGTCTCATGGAGAGCCATGTGCTAGGTGGTATATGGGGGGTCACAGTTGATGCCATGTCTCATGGAGAGCCATGTGCTAGGTGGTATATGGGGGTTCCAGTTGTGTACCTCTTCTCTCTGCACCTGGTGCTGTCACTGTCTTCTCCACTAAATGACTCTCAAGAGACATTTCATGTGGTCTTTCTTCTTTTTCTAAATCTATTTCATTGCTTTTCTGAATCCAACCTCTGCTCTCAACCAAGACATCTTCTCAACCATTTGTACTGGACTAAGAATTCTCTGTTCTTTCCATTTACTACATTGGTTTTTTTTTGGGGGGGGCTGTTTATTTCTTAAGAATCCCAGTTTTAAGCCATTAGTTTATTTTACCAATAACTGTCCATAAATGAACTCCGTCTTGTGGCAGCTATGTGTCTTTCTCGTGGGAAAGCTACTTGGCTAGCCTTCTTTCCTGTCTGGTCATGTTCAGACTTAGGAAATGCTAGCTTTAGACTGTCTATTCTGAGTGTGTCTTCCTCATGTCCCTTTTGTTACCCCAATGGCATTGCCTTGTGGCAAATTCCTCCTCAGATAGTGAAACCTGTGAGCATCCCAGGAATGGAGGTCCCAAAGTAGACGTTCTCCCAACCACTCAACACCAGGAAATGTCTGTCAGTGTCTTAGGACTGACCATAAATAAAGAGTGAATACTTTCATATATCTCAGTGTATCCTTTGAATATGATACATTCACAACTTATATGTGTATTGCTTTAATAGTTTCCTTATAGCAAATAACTTGGAAAATTTCCTTTGGTGCTTTGAAGAATAATTATATAGGGGAATCATTGGATTAAAAAGTAAAAATGACATTAAAGAACTATCATGTTTATTTATTCATATTTCCAGGTTATAGTCATCATTCATAAGCAAAGGCACAATTTGAACAAACAACTATTTTAGGAAAGAGTAAAAATAATAAATTCTAGAGTAGGATAGTGAAAGATTAGCTACCTATGGAAGTCAAACCAGAAGTGCAGAAGATATTCTGAAGGTAAGCATTATACAATGTAAAAATCCTGAACCCTCTAGAATAAGTGATTTATTGATGTACACAACATCTAATGTGGTGAGATTAAAGGGTGTTTGAGAATTTGGACAGTGGCTAGGGGTTACTTATTGGAAAATGATGGCCGTTATGTACTGTGTGAAGATGTATACTTTTGGGGATTGTTGGAATGTTCAGGAGTGGTTGATTCTCTTTTCTTCTTACCCTTTAGGCTTGGAAATATCCTGGGATGGAGACAGTTTTGTGGAGGTCATGGCTGCTCCTCATCTCAAGGGCAAGCTCTGTGGTCTTTGTGGCAACTATAACGGACATAAACGTGATGACTTAATTGGCGGAGATGGAAACTTCAAGTTTGATGTGGATGACTTTGCTGAATCATGGAGGGTGGAGTCCAATGAATTCTGCAACAGACCACAGAGGAAGCCAGTGCCTGAGCTATGTCAAGGGACAGTGAAGGTAAAGCTCCGAGCCCATCGAGAATGCCAGAAACTCAAATCTTGGGAGTTCCAGACCTGCCACTCAACAGTGGACTACACTACTTTCTACCGGTAAGTTCAGTATTCTAAGGGACGAGTTTATATTACAGACCAAGGACAGACTTTACCTTGGAACAGTGTGTCACTTTTTTTTTTTTTTTTTTTTTTAATGCAAAGCAAGGCCTCAAACCATGGAACAATCATTCCTGCTTCTTACTGTTCATTAACTCATCTTGTCCTGAACTGGGAAATTTATGAAGTATTCAAGGCCTGTCTTCTCTAGGCAATCTGTGTTCATGCCTACAGGTATACTGGGAAGCTGGTTCAAAGCCATAGAGGTTTTCCAGTACTTAGTCTGATTAGAAGACTAGAGATGGCCTTGATTGTAATGGTGCAGGGCAAAGGTGATTTGTTGAAATGAAATCTGCCTTCACTCTGGCGGTGTGTCTGAGGGAGCTGGGTTATTCTAGGTGTAAGGAAGAGTTCGCATGTGCCTCATGTTTAGCCCAGATCAAATCCACACATGGAAAAATAAGGAACCCAGTGAGGATTCTTTGGCTGCTGATCAAGAGAATTCATGTCTAGAATTAGAGGATAGTAGAAAAACGGTTTGAGGTTGGAGGCAGAAAAGGGTCACATTAAAAGAGGGATTCTGTCTTTTCTAACTGTGTTAACTCCATTTCACACCCAGAAACTGTCTGCAGAGGAGTCTTCTGTGCCACAGGGTCTCGTATGTAGGTTGATGAGTTTGGCCTGTTATGCTTCCCGTTACCACACAATTCCATGGGTTCAAGAGCCATGGCTGCCTGTAACTTCAACCACTGTGGGTATGGGAGGAAACATGAGAGGAACACATCCCAAAAGGCCTTGTTTAAGTGATTTGCCTGTGCCTTTTAAAACTAGAAACTCCTGTGGTCTGCATCCACAGCGAGGCTATTTTTACTCTTTAATTGCCACCAGTTTATTTCCCTTAGCTCTCATTAAATGTGATCTTTTTATTTTAATTTGATCTTTGGACATAAAAGATAAAGTTCTATAAAGGCAGCTCAAAGTGGGGTGGAAAGAAGACTGTCCCTGTCATCACAAATCCCCGAGCATGTGGCTGTCTCTGCCAAGCCATTTGGCTCCGAGTCACATACTCAGCTCTCTCAGAACATGATCTTTTATAATCTGAATTCTCTGGGTTCCCTTCTTTCTCCTCTCTGTTCTGCCCCCTAGGGTGGCCTGTTCCTTTCCTATTGAAATTGACCTCACCCTTTCCTATTGAAGACCATGAATATATTAAGCTCCTTGATAACCCAGGCCCCTTTTACAATATAAACACCATCACTTGAAGTGTGATGGGACTTGGGAGAGCATAGAAGAAATTAGAGTTTGGAGCTGGAAAGATGGCTCAGTGGTTAAGAGCACTGGCTTCTCTTACAGAGGACCCAGGTTCATTTCTCAGCACCCACATGGACACTAACAACCATCTGAAACTCCAGTTCCAGGGGATCCAACATCATCTTCTGGTCTCTATGGGCATTGCGCACATGGGTGCACTTATATACATGCAGGTAGAGCACTCATACACATAAAATAAAAATAAGCAAGTTTTTTAAAAGTTAAAAAGACTTTGTAGGTCTTCCAGCTTTCAAGACCCAACTGGCTGTTCAAGTGGAACAGTTTCCTGACTCCCTAAGCCTCAGTTCATCTGTCTGTGGAGTGAGATAAAAAGAATCATGCCTTGAAAAAGCTGCTGTCCATAGTTAATGAGGTTGTGAACCAGAAAGCTCAAAGTGCTGGAATTGCTGGCTGCCATCATTTTTCTCATCATTCATGAGAGGACAAATAGGAAAGGGCCCTCCTGTGGAGCTCTTGCATTCCACTTGAAGGCTTGGATTGGGTTCTTCTCTCTGTAAAACTAGGATGGAAAGGCCATGCCTCTCCCATGCACTAGTCTGTCTTTTCAAAAAAATTGTGTTAAAACAAAAGTTGGAGAGCAGACCTGTAGAGATCAGTCACTTTTACCAAATCCCCATACTTTTGGTTCTGGTGATTTACTTAGTGTTATGTTCTGTATTAGTTAGTTTTCTGTTGCTGTGATAAGATACAGTGACCAAGGTAACTTATAGAAGGAAGAGGGTTTTATGGCTTACAATTCTAGAGGGGTTAGAGTCCATAATGGTGGGGGGATGCACAGCAGCAGAGATGGTCAGAGCCGAAAGCCAAGCGAAAGAGAAAGACTGGAAACCTGGCAAGGCTTAAGAACTCTCAAAGCCTAACCTCAGCGACATGCTCCCACACTTACTAAAACCTCTCAAAACAATGCCACCAACTGGAGACAAAATGTCCAAGACAAAATGTCCAAATACTTGGAGGCTATGGGGGACATTCTCATTCAAACCACCACCTTTCCCCTCTGCACTTTAAAGCACCTGCAGCGGCTAGAGCTGCATGGTGGAAGTTGTTCGTGTCAGAGGCTGGATGTGGCGAGACTGGATAAATACAAGCATGCTCTTGGGAGCTTTGTATATGTAGGCTGGAGGGGATGTGGCGGGGATGTTGGTTTGTATTCTGCCAATCACGGGCATATTACGGTGTAAACTGGCCTTAAAGGTCTGGCACTCTTTCCTGGAAAGGACCAAAGAGCTCTGGATGGGAATCTAGACAATTCTGCTGGCCACACACCCTCCTGCCACCCTCACTCTACAACAGAAGGGGGTGTGCTCACATAAAGTAGGGGGGTCTAGTACTGATTAGATCCAGGGCTTCTCACTCTTCTTTGAAGCACACATGTGGCAGGAGAAGAAAATAAACAAGGTGCAACATAGAAAGGCAGTTCATCAGTGGAGCTCCAGAGAGGTGCCAGTGTTAGGCTTTCCAGGAAGATGTTCTGAAGAAGGAGACTGATGATGAGCGATGCGCAAGGTGAACCCAGTCCCAGCCCTGCCTCTTTCAGCTGGGTAACCCTGGCAGCCAGCCACGCTGTACCCCCTTCATCTAGCACTGGGGGCATCATTGATCCGAGCAATGAAGGCACTGCACAGTAGGTGCCGCCACATGGCAGATGGAGTGCTCCAGCCCATGTTGTGCCCTTGTCCTGTGTTCCTGCCTTTCTATGGGGACCTTCCTAACCCCTCAGCCAGCCCTTGCACTTTTTGATTGGTGCTGGCTCCTGCTCTCATCACAGGGGCCCACTGTTTTAGGTAATCACTGGTGAAGTCTTCAAGCAATTTCAGGATGAACCATTTCTCTTCATGACACTGAAAGACGTGCCAATCAAGATGGCATGGTCATTATTGTCAAATGACTTAGCTTTTGTTGTAGAATAAAGAAAAGCAGCAATCACATGGCACCCCACGCCTGCAAAGTTCTGCCTGTTATATTTGAAATCTCAGGCGGAATTCCCGAAATAAACCTTAGTATGAGTATGTGGTCAGAATCATGGCTGTGGCATGTTTTTATGAGTCATTACACGACTAAAGAAATGCAAGAGCAGTCACTACCATAAAATGTATTGGAACTTAATTCTGTTTATTTTTCTCATCCTCCAAAGAAATATCTCTCCTTTACTGATATGATAAAGAAGAAAGTTTTATAAAGCACACACACACACACACACACACACACACACACACACACTCAAGCTTCCAGGCACTACTGTGTTTTCAGAGTGAAGAGTTTATTTCTCAGTTTAAAACCACAACTGGGCAAAGTGCAGAGAATAAAAGATTGGAGAGTGCTTATCCCTAAATAGGACACCTATATCAAACTCTGCCACCCAAGGTTCAGGGATCAGAATGACTGTAAAAGGTAGTGGATGACCACAAGGAAATGTTTTCCAGACCGCTAGGAAGTTACTCCTATGACCTGACAGCACTGGCAGCAACATGGCTGAGACCCACACAAGCTGAAGCCAGACAAAATCCCAGCATAGAAGTGGTGAGGTGGGGAAGTAGCCCCAACCTTAGCTGAGGGACTATTGGCAACCGATCTCTGCTGGGAGAGAGAGAATTGGTTTTCTTTAAGAATGTGACTCTAGATAGGTTAACCAGGTTCCAGTGGAAGGACACATACCGAAGGACATTTGGGGACACAGACTTGTATCAATAGGCCTTAATATATATGACAGAGTACATGAAGTCTGCGGGGGGATGCTGTAGGAGGGGTGCAGATGGGGAAGGGTGTCTAAATATGATCAAAATATATTATATGAAGAGCTCTGTAAAACTTCAATTTAAAATAAAGGGTTTCCCACAGTGTTGCCTTTGGATCTCCTTAAAGATATGACACTTTCCTTTCCATGAGGTAAATTCTATTGTGACAGTGTTTTCTATAAAGTTAAAATAATTCTGATATATCTGAGTCGAAGACTCATAACTCATTTTATTTTGGTCTTTTACCTAATTTAACATCTTTGCTAATAAATAGCCTATTGTCTAAATATTTGAAAAACTACCACTTTGAAGGAATTGACTTTGTACTATGCACTTTATATTATTTGCTTTATAAATGAAGTACATTTTAGTCTGAATATTTTTCTCCTTTAGGAAACTTTCAACATTTTGCTATTTTTTAATTCACACATCAGTTTGATCTCTCTTGGCCAGTTTGATATAAAATATTGAGATATGATTAAGTTCTTTGTAATCAGAGTGAGTTTCTTGAATTTGCCAATTGAATATGTTTGACTACAAAATAATTTAGTAACAAATCATGTAAAAATACTGTGTTGACAATGTGTCTAAAGTCTTAACCTTCCTAATTGACTTTTCCTTAAATTAAATAATCCCTTTCAGCAATTTTTTTTCATTATTCTTCACTGGTATGTCTTGAGAAATTCTTGGGAGCTAGAGAGGTTGTTTGCTATAAAATAATGATTATGAACTGATTTAGAATATATTTGCATTCACACATAGGCCCCTCTGCGAATGTGGTGAGCAGAGTGTTGATGCCCTCCTTTCTCACATCTCTAAGTCTCATATTGCTTCTCCTTGTGCCCCAGATGCCAATTGAGAAATCTAAGATGCAGAGGCTACTCTACCTCCCAGGGAGTCTCTTCCCGATGTTTCCCCAGACAATACTGGGAA